CTTCCTTTTTCCCTCGCCTAATCTTCCCTTTTCCCTCGCCTAATCTTCCCTTCTCCCTCGCCTAATCTTCCCTTTCCCCTCCCCTAATCTACCCTTTTCCCTCCCCTAATCTACCCTTTTCCCTCCCCTAATCTACCCTTTTCCCTCGCATAACCTTCCTTTTTCCCTCGCATGATCTTAACTTGTCCCTCTCACAACTTTAACCGCTACCCTCAACAAATCTCCCTTCTTTCCCTCGTCAAACACACACTTTCTCTCTTCACCTTTTACGTTGTTTGTCGTCTTACTTCTTTCTTTATATAAACATCTTATTTCTTATTCCCACCCTCAACCCTATGTCTGCCTAAACCTCGTCTAATGATATCTTAGTATTTAATCGTTCTTAACTGAATATCATACAAAATAACTCAAATGACTTAAGCCATCTCTGTATTTCATGCATTTACAAAAAAAAATCCTACCTGGTTTTTCAAATTTTGACTAGACCTGCGTGTTTGAACCATTTTGTCTGAAATTTTCAATTTTCAATAAAATCTAAACGACATAATAATCTACAGGATACATGATGAATAGTTTAATGGGCGACTTCTTTCTTCTTTGGTTCAGGGATGGAAGCTGTGATCTTGGCAAAGATTGGTAGGCAGAGAACAAATCCAATAGCGTAGGACTAAAATAAAAAATTTAACTTTACTTTAACCATCTAATCCAGGGGTGTGTTTTTCGTTAAAATTTCCGACTCTACATAAATTCAGATTCAACTCCGCGAAGTGTAATGGAGTGTACTTTTATATTTAAAACAAGTTTAATTTCATCGAATGGTTAAGAAACAAAATTAACAGAGTTATGGTTAAATAGTGTCAATAAAAGTATGCGCTTATTAGGGAAATAAATAAGTTGTTGAATGAAGCCATTTCAGTTTCAGTAATTTATTCTCAAAGTCATCAAATATGGTATATACTTTTGTAGAAATACACCCTCTTCGTTGCATTTGAAACGTTAAGTTTAGATTACTGGGTCATTCCTCGTGAACGATTTTTGGACCCCCCGGGTCTGTCCTACTTTTAAGGCCAGATTTCAATTAGTTTGTTATCGGGCTTCCCAATTAATTATAGAATGTTAAATAAAACAAACCTTGAAAATCCAGTTTTTGGTGAGGTAGGTTTTGTAGGGGAACCTCATGAGCATTGCTCCAAAGGTATAAGGATATCTCAGCTCTGCCATTCTGTCTGGTTAAATACAGTGTTAAAAGATCTTTATGTTTCATCGAATTCCCGACACGTTTCCTAGTTCTAAAGGAATTTGTAACAAAAAAAAAATACTATTAGTTCACTCGGAAATTAAACAAGAGCTCGTGAAGTGTCTAAATTCAGAAAACACAGAAACTGGATCATTGGAGATAGCCACTAGAAAGAACGAGAAGGATTTAGGAACGAGAGCGGACATTTCAAAATGGCGGAAACCGGGGTAGTTCTAGACTTAAAAAATATTTGTGAATAATTAATAATTTTTATTTTCTTCATACAATTTCTGACTTTAAAAATGTACAAAATAATATTAAATAAAGTCAGCCCTATCCCTTAAAATGAAAAAGACGACTTTTAGGAAAGATCGATATATAATATTATAAGTATTTGCAATTTTTAAATATTGATGGTCTAATTATTTTTAAAGTAATGCAGGCGTGTATACAGTTGGGAAATAGTCCTCTTGTCCCCCCATGGGCATCCCATGGGTGGCCCTGCCCCCCTCTGGGATTTATGGGTAAGATTAAAGTTATTTTAAAAAACACCTCTTGTATGCACCTGCATCTGAAAAAAGGGTTTTTTCGAAGCTATATAGTTTGCACTAATGTCCGATTGTTAAATATTATTAACTGTATTATTAACTTAACATAACCTAACCCACAAATAAAACGTTAGTCTGAATTTGTCGCAAGTGTTTTATAAATACCTCACTTGGACTTCTTGGACCTTGCAAAATATTCAAGTTGGATTTTGAGCTATTCAAACTTCAAAGACCTATTATTAATTCTCTCTCTCTCTCTCTGTATCTTAGTCTTTCAACCTGGTCAGTAGTCATCTTTCAACCTAGTCAGTAGTCATCTTTCAACCTAGTCAGTAGTCATCTTTCACCCTTCACCTTGAATCAATACTTGGGTCTTCTCTATTTGTTCTTGATCCCAATATAGAGTTGCTAAAAATGTTGTATTCGGGACTGATCCAGAAAAGGGTGAACAGTCCCTTAGAAACAATAAGAGATCAGAGAGACCAGAATGGGTTAGTAAATTGTCATGTTTCGTGGGACACCCTGTATATAGTTTGCACTAATGTCCGATTGTTAAATATTATTAACTGTATTATTAACTTAACATAACCTCACCCTCAAATAAAACGTTAGTCCGAATGAACGTTAGTGCGCGAATGTACGTTAGTCCGATCAATCATAGTGCAAACGATACGACACCTCTTTTTCCCCTAAAAAGTAGTTTAAAATACTCTTGGCGCTTCACGCGATTTATTTTCATACCTTAATGTTTTCCTTAATAAACAATTATAGCTTATAGGTATATGCAAACTGTATATGTGTTAGGCATTTCTTCCCGCAACCCCCATGAAAGGAATGAAAGCTAGGGTGAGATTATAAAATGAGAGGAGGGATGGGGGAGAATAAAGAGAACAGCTAGGACTAATGATAGTCTTCAGGAAACTACTCAGGACTTCAGAGAGTAATACACAACAATACAATCATAGGGATACATTGTAATATTTAGTCCTTGAATCAGGACTACAGAATTCTATACAGAGGGAAGTAGTCTTCAGGAGAATACTCAGGACTTCAAAGTAACAGAACTATACCAAGGGGAGTGTTCATCAAGAGACTACTCAGGACTTCAGAGAGTAATACAGAACTATAAAATAATTTAAAGTCCTTGAATCGGGACTACTATGGGCTACATAGGGGACATACGTAGAAGGCTTAATATAAAGTAACAGCATTTTCAAGGCTTTAAGGCTTCGCGCGATAACTTATTTTATTTATTTATGACAATATTTATGACAATAATTTGTAAATTCTTATTTCTTCTCAAATTCAACTGATTCCCTTTCAACTGATATTATTTATTAATCTTTATTTCGAGTCTTCTTCCTTTCTTGGAGGATTAATGATATACACCATGCAATGATAATTTTACAAAAATAAAATAAGGTTTTCTGTCCAATTCTGACCTAATCTTCAACTTTATCTCTCCTATTCCGCCTGTAACGTAATCCATGG